ACGTAGAAACTGTAAATCTTCTCGCCTTTTGGCAGTAAAGTATATTCATGTTTTTGCTCTCTTTTTTGATTTTTGGCAGTTATACCGTCATCATTTTAACCACTATGTACGTCGTTTTCAGGATGAAATTCTACCTGAACTGCTTCTCTTTTTTCGATATCCAGAAGCACTGATTTTTTAAAAAAATTCGATTCCTCCAATTCAATTCTTAACTACTTGTTTAGTAGTCTACTTTACAGTTCTTTTTTTGTAACGTATTTCTTTTCCGGTCAGCTTCGGAACCGGCAATCTAGCTAATAAACAACAACAACATTACATAGCATTTTGTGGTCCGTGAAATTCTGTATCGAAGAGTATACAGTAGTTGAGGTTTGCTTTGGGAAAAAGAGAAGAAAAGAAGAATACTCTCAGTAAAGTTTATATAAAGAGAGAAAAGTTTGGGTTTTCTGAGGTGTAGTTTTAATCACTACATCAGACGTGTGAATATGAGATAAATCTGAGAGAGGGCCAAATACTTGACAGATACTTAATTAAAGAAGCATATAATTTAATTTTTACATGAACATCAGTAGTCCATGGCTCTTTTGGTGTGAGAGAAAAATAGAAATATCTGAGAGTTTTAGATTGTTCGCCAGCTTTCCATGCGATGATCTCGTGCGTGATCAGCATGTGCTTATATAACCGAATAGCTCTAAAATTTTGCCGTCGTCCAGGAGGTTTGCTTTTCGTTCACAGGCCATAGGTATTCTGCAAGAAATATCATACTGCAGTACTTCCTAAGGATTTTTCCCTGTTTGGTGCCATCCGCTTTTTAAAAAATCGAGTGAAAAGTTTTTCTCAAAAAGCGACTGTCAGTTTACTTTAATTATATATTGATATATTTTGAAACTAAATATTTTTTTTATTCACTCTTCACAAATTCCGTTGAAGCGAAAGATTTCGTACAGACGAATATATTTTTTCTAGGGCCCAAAAGGGATGTGCCACTTTTTCCGATTTCCTGCACTTAAACACTCTTACTAGTCCATGTGTTCAGATATTCTTCCAGATATTTTAGATCTGAATCTCACGTTTTCAGAGACGAATACTATGCACTGAGTATGTGAGGCAGCAACCAAGCGAATACTTAAAAAGCTTTGACTAATTGAATTTCTTTTTCTGGAAAGTTTTATTCTAAAGCACACAGACTACAATACTACAGCGATCAAGTCGTCTTTCAGTGGCCATAATTTCTATAAATAACTCGACCATTTACTGGTTGCACTGGACGATAAACTTTTCGCATCACGTTCTGGCGAAGCTCGTTTAAACTTTTTTCTGCAATTGGAATTACAGTGAAGAATATTGTCCATATGACGCCTTCGGCGCACGGCGGCGTTGTCAAACTGCCCGTATAGCGAAAATATTGTCTGTCTTCGATTTGCATGAGGTTACTTAGATGGAACGTGCAATCGACGGTATCACCAGTGTTTTTCAACTGACTTGCGGCATCTGCATACTTCTTCCATTCAACGTTTTCATGATGGTGTTTACTAGCGATATCAAAAAAGAATGCAAATACGGCCGTTTCTTTAGTTTCCAAATTCTTATGAACAAAATGAGCTTCGGCTGGAAATCTGTATCCATCAATTTCATGCTCAGATCCATGTCTATCATTCTTGCCCCAGTGCAAGTGAAAATTAACGAAATGAAATTTTCCGTGTAGTCCGCCGCCGGTAAACCATAGATCTGGTTGATTTTGGCTGCTAGTACTTTTAGCAGCCTGTGTGACGGCAACCTGATGACCATTGTTCGTCAGTGTAAACAGCAGTTGATGCGTGTAATTGGGAGAAAATGAAAATGCTGGATACACCTGCGGGACGGTTTCATTCGACTTTATATTGATTGGTGACTGACTGAAACCACCGGCAGATGGAAAATGTTCATGCCATTTAGACGGATCATTATAGTTCCAGTAATCATTGGATTCATCGGCGCAAGACATGATGATGACAACGTTTAATAGCAGTAGAAAAGCAAAACAATCGCTGCCAAATGGATTTCAAGCTACAAATGAAAAAAAAAAACTTTGTAACTACTTAATGTGTTTTTTTATTCAGCTGCCAATTTGACGTTCATGTTCTCATTCTGTATTCCACACACGCATACCTATTGAATATAAATGAGGGGTGATAAAGAAAACAGAAAAGTACATTCTTTTTCTCTTCTCTATTCTGTCATTTTCTATTTGTAATGGTGCTAATATCAAAATAAAGAAAATAATAACGAGAGAGAGAGAGAGAGAGAGAGAGGTTGTTACGACAAATACTCTTGGAGCAGCGTGTTCAAATAAAAATAAAAAATTTGATCTCCTCTCGATTCCCCTCTAATTTACATTATTTTATTCATTTACATTATTATATATTTGCATTATTCATACTCTGAAACATTTCTTATCTCGTCGCTTGCCTTAGTAGTTTGTCTCTAAGTGATTCTCAGTTTGCCGCAATGTATAAGTATCACATACTACTACCCATATACGTATAGAAGAGAACAGAAATAAAACGACACGTAACTAAAAGAAAAAATTAGAGAAAGAAACAAATGCAGAATACTTCAAAACAAATGAGCATAACACAAAACAAGAATGTTGAAGTCGGAACCTGGAATATCCGGAATTGAGATTGAATTGTTGTGTCTTGCATAGAGATCGTCATGGCCCTAGTATTTCGCCTGTGAGCCACGGAACATTTGCTTTTCAGTCAAAACAAAATTTGTGTGTATGCTTTGGACGAGTTGTGTTTTTTCGTAATGAATACTTTCTAGAACAGCTGAAGAGCAATGGGATGAAGGCTGGAGGGAGAGAGCGAGAGGGAGATATTTCTGACGACTTTGTCCCTAGAACAGCGTTAATACCCTCGGAGGTTCTCCGTTCTCATTTGATCCTCTAGCCTCAAAGACTGCTTTAGTATCATCATATGTTTGGAGTCAAAATTAGCTTTAAATAACCTCAAATGAAGTTTTTGCCGGTATATTAATTCTTACTTAGGGACCATTTCAAAATATATTCCGGCTGGCCGGTCGCTATTCCTATATTCCTCGACTATTCCTTTATTACAGAATATTTCATTGTATACTAGTTTATATATATCGAACTTGATTTTCTTTTCTAATTGTTTCTACATCGTCAAAACAATCAACTGTCATGTTTCCAAAGATTATTCATTGTATGTGCATGTATTACATATAATGCGATCAAAAGAAACAGAAAAACTAAAATAACATATAATCGAAATGAGATAGAACTGCCTACTTAGGGAGCACTTCAAAATTGCATAAACAGGAAAAACTATAATAATGTTCTCCTTATTTCTATGTATATATTAAATATGACTACAAATCTAATAATTAGTAATACTTTTATTAAATTTTGTCCTTATTCGACTGCATCTTTTATTTAGTAATTACATGATACTGATCTATTTTTTAGAAAAGGACTCCTTTTAGTCTTTGAGAAATATGTAGCCCTATATACAATGAATAATCTTTGGAAACATGGCGGTTAACTGTTTCTGAAGAAGTAGAAACAATTAGAAAAGAAAATTAAGCTCGATATATCTAGCATACAATGAAATATTCTATAATAAAGGAATAGTCGAGGAATAACGAAATAGAGAAATGAAGGAATAGAGGAGTAGTCAAGGAATATAGGAATAGCGGCCGGCCGACCGGAATATACTTTTAAATGCTCCATTAGGGAAATGGAAAAAACGTTCATCAAAGCGTTTTTTGTCAATGAAAGTACCGGAACTTTTGTTAACATGTCTCATTAAAACTTTTAATAAAACATCGAACAAGAGCTTAACAACGCTGCTACAAGAGTATTTGTTGTAACGCTCTCTCTCTCTCTCTCTCTCTTTATTATTTTCTTTATTTTGATATTGGCACCATTACAAATAGAAAATGACAGAATAGAGAAGAGAGAAAGAATGTACTTTTCTGTTTTCTTATGTATTCTTTAGAAAGGTCGTGTAGAGCTCGGAGATGTCTCATTTTAATCAGAAATCTGCGGGCTACAATCTTGCCTCATTAACAAAGGTTTTGGTTACTTTTTGAGAGTTTTAAAAAACTGTTTTTCCCGAAATCCGATCTCTCAAGACCTATCGGCCAAAATAATTGTTATATTCGGAATCAGCACCCTTGATTACCTCTGACCCACTAGGTTTTAGCCCGAAAGCGATTTGCAACCTGAGAAGGTTCCCTCGTCAGTGTGTACAGTACTCGTCAAAATTATAGGTTCGCCTTTATTTTTAATTTTTCTCCTCAACCATAATAGCTAGAACAAATGTGAAAAAAGATTTGAACAACTGAAAGAGTTTATAATCAGGTGAGGCGCATATCAAAATTCCATTAAAATTCCTGTGAACCAAGTCTGTGGAAAACCAAGATTTTAACAAATTCCAAAAAATTAAGTCCCGCGATCTCAACAGAAACTTTTCGTAAATAGTCCATTCGTGTAGAGCACACACATTTTTGAACAAAACTAGACGTCGCCGAACTCTCTACGACGTTTTTTCATCGAACTGCACTCAATTTACGAAAGGTCCCTCCACATCACAATCACTATCATTTTTGCTCTTTTTCTAGCGATTTTACTGATTGTGACCGGGGATGCTAACTCAAAAAAAAGTAAAGGGGGACAAATTTTTGGAAAACGGGGACGTAAGGGGGACTATTTTTTCTACAAAGCGGGAGAATACAAACATATTATTTGTTGTGCAATATCATTGAGAAAACTGAAGGCACATGAGTATATTCTTTTATTTCTACCGAATATTTCTATTATTCTGGTTTTTCTAATATTACTATGTCAAAACATAAAATTTAATGCAAATATCTTTTGTTACACTAAAAACAATAAATGATCACTTTAAACGTAATATTTTGCTTCTATGTACATATTTTTGATTTCCGCGAATACTCTTGAGAAGTTCTTTGTTATTTAAAATCAAAGAATGAAAATGAGTACACGTTAAGTTTATATTCATTCTAATTTTCAATTCTGCAGCCACTAATTCACTTGTCATTCTATTCCTTGCATCCACCCAACAATAATTCGTATGTGAAAAAATGGTCTCTACAAATGAATTCGATGCTGGAATTGAAAAAGTAAAAGAAATTAATTTTTTCATTGAGGTATTGGGGAGCTTGTTTTTGAAAACAAATAAGTCCATAGAAGATCTGAACGAATATGTTCATTCTTCGTTTCTTTTCTTTCTACTTCTTCTGATGCAAGATTTTCTTGATTATTTTCATTATTTTTATTCTCCTCTTCCATGTGTTTTTCTTCTTCATCACTAATAAGTAAATCATCAGTTTTTCTTGTATTAATTGAGTCGTTTATAAAGTGCTTAATTAACCCTAGTACTATCAAGCCTATTTTAGGCATGACATGATGATATATTTTTATTATGTGATGTTTTCCTCATGAAACCGATATGTTTGTCTAAGTTACACTATTTTCTATTCGGTTAGAGGATAAAATGATTGAGAAGAGTGTTATGTATTTATTTCGAACAAGTGATACAAAAAAGCCGTTTCACACAATACTCATTACAAACGGATTCGGAACATTTGTAACATTTGTTCAGAATCTTTCTGTCTTTGGACCACGATATTTTTATTAAATTTCAGTTTTCTACAGTGGGGTCATTTTTGACCCCGCTTGGTAGTACTAGGGTTAAATCACGTAATGACCGACCACTACGTTTAATAATTTTCAATGTGCTTAATATTTCATTATAATCAATAAATAATAAATCAAGTTCAACTCCATCAACTATCAGAGCAAAAATACAATTAATTAAACAATCAAATTCAATATTATCAATATCTGTCTTACTTAAAAATGAAACTGCTTCATATAACTCACGATTTTGATCAAAATAATTTGTTATATATTGAATAATCCTTTGTATATATGTTAGAAATGATTTGCTTAAAGCATCTTTCTTCTCTTTTGGTAATTCATTTAATATTTGTTTCGATTTAAAACCGAAATAATTTGTATCAATACGACGTTGAAGACTAGTTACTAATGAACCAATTATTCGAAGTAAATCTACTATTGTAGTATTTGTTCTTTGTAATTGTAAATTACTTCTTTGTAAATCGAACAATATATTTTGTAGAAAATATAAGACACATTGGCCATCATGTGATTGAAAAAACTGCGATACAATTTTTGAACATTGATTTAAATCAAGAAAATAAGTACACAATGGTTCGTAAACCAATAATAGTCGTTCTATTGATGAGAATAGACTTAATCAACGAATGTTTTAAGAAAAAACCTAAACATCAAAGTAGACAAAGAAACTCAACACATATCCGACTCGTTCAAACGAAAAGTCAGAGAGATACGAGAAGTTTGCTCACCTTCTTTTCCTGCTGCACAAAATTGAAATAATAATCTAACGCTTGAACACGTTTAGCTGAGCAATTGAAATAGTTATATAAATTTTGGATAGTATATGTTCAACATCGATCGTTAATATATCATTTGCATTCTTAACACCATTGTGTAGTATATGTGGATAACAATTTGCTACAACAAGGACAGTAGCGGCGACTGACCAATGATCACAACAGATGCGAAATTAACAACAGCAAAATATGGGCAACAAATAGTATGAACAGAATATACCGTGAGCAAACCTTCGTGGCCTCTTCCCAAAGACGGGTGTACTCCTTCCGGATATCTCAACTATTCAGCGAATCAATACAATAAGCGATATCAAATATAACGGAAATAAAATAATAATGCAAGACCTTTTTTCAAATTTGGCATCTCTTCTTTTAACAATAAATACATATACAGAATGATTACAGCCGTAGTTCATATTGGTATTATTAGCTCCAAGACTAACTATTTTTTTCAAATCAACGTCATTTTCAGTTAATACACCTTTTAACATATTTTTTATGCCAATGGCAGTTTCTGTTGCTTGTTCGATGAAACCAATAAGACCACGTTTAACTCCTAATTTAGAAAAATAATTGACAACTACATTATTTTAAATAAACGAAACATGATTGTGATGAGCAAAAAGTAATGAAACAACTCCATTACAAAGCAAAGTTACTGAACAACTTTGCAAATGCATAGCAATCATACACTTAGTACGTGTTATTCTTTTACCTAAAACATTACAACAAATTTCATGTGATTTCGTCTTTCCACAACTAATATTATGACCACTTGTACAATCAGGAAAAATTTTCTTCACTATATTAACTGTACAAGCTTGAGAAACGTACGAATGAGAATGTTTTACACCATGATAAACGAAAACGGTTCCTGCTGCAGATACTTTATCAAGTTCACCAACTGGTATTATAAGTTCGTCCATTTTTTTTAGTGAGAAGAAAAAAAATACAAGAGAAGCGTAATTTCGAGAAGCTCTCTTAGATATTTCTAACATACCTTTTACTACATCTTTCATTTTTACTTGATGATCAGGCGTAGACATGTGGCAACTGATCGCGTATGCTTCACCACTGCTAATCGAAAACTGTGAATTACAGACACAACATAGTGCTCTTGTTAAATTGAATTTAACTTCTCTCAAAAAATCTTTGTATTTCTCGTTGTTCAACCATTCCTTTTTAAAACGACAAGCACGCTTCGTAGATAGTTTAGCTGATTTGTCTAGCTTATTAATTAAATTTTCTGAACTTTCATTTTTAAAATCAGACATTACTTATTTAAAAGTAATTAGACAAGCATAAAAAACGAGATATTTAGTCGAGGAATAAAATGTGAATTTGAACTTGAAATATGTACAAAGAATGAAAATGTTATTGCCCAAGCGTCAAAAAAAAATCTAGTATCGCCCGATTCATCTAGATTACTAGATTTTTACTCGATTGCAACTACTGTGTAACGACAGTGGAAATCTAGTAATTGGACGATTACTAGATTTTTTCTAGTTGCAACTATTGATTTATCACCCGATAATCGATCGATTCAACTATTGCTAGATGCGCCTGCAGACGCATCTAGTTAAAAGTCCCTTTTCCAACTAGTAATCTAGATGACAACTAGTCGTGTATCGCCCGATTACAGACGAAATGTATCTAGATTTTTCTCGTAGGTGATATTTGCTTGGGTGTATTCGATTTTTGTTTCGTTTCTTATAGTATAGTCAATTGTGTAAAGAAGTTTTACTTTCACTTCTATTTCAATGATGCAACCTGAAAGGCGTGAAAAAACACAGAAAGAAAGAAAAAAATTATCTTTTTCTTTTATCGCATGTAGGCAGATATACCTATCATGCAGACTGTATCTCATATAAGAAAAAGCACTTCTAGGTCTATTGAAATGAAAGCGTAATACAAAAGTGCAATATCCATTGAAGACAGTCAAAATAGTACATCCTCGAAAAGAGGGACACCGGGTGGGACAGATTTCCACGGGGGACAAGTCTTTAAATGTGGGACTGTCCCCCTTATGGGGGGGACATCTGGCAACCCCGATTGTGACGTGGAGGGACCTTTCGT